AATAGACTTCACGAATGCTGAGAATGAATCTCGATATCAGGATGCCCGTCGATCTGGTAAAGTGAGCGTCCATCGAACTGATTTCGAATAGTGAATGGTGCTCACGAATTCGCAATAAATGTCATAGAATTTAGCGTCGTCTGCGCTGCATTAAGCAAGGAATCAAATGTTGCAGGGACGCAAGGCATACCTGGCTCTTCAAGCCGAAAATATCAGCAGGGTTGATGAATAAGGTCGCTCTACGGTAGAATTATCTATGACTTCCAGTTGACCGGTCAGAAACTAATGACCTACATGAATTGCAACGTACCTGTACTATATCTGTAAAGCGTAGATTATGGTACAGCACGATGAATAGCGCACCATCCTTCTGGAGAAGAATGAATAGCTGACCACCTCTGTGTTGTGTTGAAGGGTTTATCGGCCAAGTACTGATATATGTCTTGATCAGTATCAGGAAAAAGCTCATGCAGTGGTGAAGAATGCCCAGGACATCATTGGCGACGTTCACTGTACAGATGGCATTATTAGTGGTAATGATCCGAATGTCCACGAAATTATCTACTGACACCTGAGGAAGGTGATTGAGAAATCTCGCAACGATTTGAAACCAGATTTTCACCCTTACGCATTATATACGGCCATGTTCAGACGCGTGTCTCTGCCACAAGACCCGGTTGATACAGACACTTGCTCAGCAGCAATCACACACTGGGCATCGATCGTCAGAATTGGATATATATATATATATGCTGGTGATACTGGAGGAAGCATACCGTGTTGAGGATAACAGGGACTATTCCCATGAACAGGCTGACTACGAATATCCGGATGTCTTCACCCCAAACCGCATATAATCGCAAAGACACAAACACTGGTAGCGGTTCAAGGTAAGTATGGTAGTCACATGAGAGGATCGTTATCTTACCCATTGAATTCAAATACAGGATGGTGAAGATAATTTGGTTAGTTATTACAATGCCCGCGCAGGTACTAGTAAAATAATCTAAGCGTTACATACTGCGTTCGGCTGAACGAGTGCGTACAGCTATAAATTTTAGTGGTCAAGATGCGTAGGACTCTCATGGAAAACGCTACGTACTTTGGTTGGCTTGGAGGACGACTGGGAGTACCCCACACCAAGCTCACAGATCAGGAGCAGCATAAACACAACAGAAGTATACCGGTTAATTAGGTATGAGACGTTTCTCACATAAGTTGCAAAAATTGACTCACTTATTGCGACGGTGAGACAATACAAGCTGCTCCCAGTGGTTAGTACCCGCGACTCGCGGTTAGAGTCAGTAGTGAACTTGCGTGAATTTGTTTTCATCCAGATTGTACATAGATTAGGTAGACTTGCTGAAGTCCTGGAGCGAGAGAAGAGATTGCCACTATGGGTACCAGGGTAACGCGAACTGGATAAATACTGTATTATCTAGCGCTAAGAGCACTACAAGTGGAAAGATGGATGCTATGCAACCTCATGTCATAATCAGTGAACGTACAGTATGAGCCCCTGAACCTTGTCGTAGCTACCATGGGAAACTACGTGAGTTTCGCAGATATCATTGTGTTTGGCCGTTACAAAACGCTCCAGCGCTCCAGCGGCACCCACTTTTGCTGATCGGTGCAAGTGCTAGCGCTGCCTGTCACGAGAGACTAGCTCCAACTTCGGTTCGACAAGATCCACTGCCGCGTGGCGATTGTAACTCATCCATTCACCAGTACACCGTCAATGATTGCGACGCCGAGTTGCAATGAAAGAGCAATAACCTTGCAATCGACACTGCTCTCAGCGCTCAGACACAATGATATCTGCGAAACTTGCGCAATTCATCATGGTAGCCACGAAAAGCCTGTTAATATGTTCATTCATCATGTCATAGAGGGGGAGAATCGTGGAGCTACTTAGCCGCAATCTTTCAACATGCAGCGCTCTCGGCGCTTGATAATATGGTATTTATCCAGCTCATGCTACCCTGACAGCCCTCGTGGCAACTTGTTCTCTCGCTGTATTGCCAATATATCCTCCTTCTCTTCCTCAGCATGCCTCAGTTGACCTACTTTACGCACAATCTAGAAGAGAATAGGATCACGCAAGTTCACTAGTGACTCTAATGCGAGTAGCGAATACTGACCACCAGGAGTAGCGAGTATTGTCTCGCCATCGCAATAAGTGAGTCAATTTTTTTGCAATCTATGAGACATGAATCTTGACGCTTCTCAGTGATCATCCTCTATGATTATTCCCTGACCCTATCACGAGAGGTAACTTATGTGTGGCGGCGAGCGCTCTCTGGCGCAGCCATCCTATACCTAATTAACCGGTATACATCCGTCGTGCTTGTGCTGCTCTTGATCTGCGAGCTCAGCGCTGGGCATCCCCAGTCGGTCTCCGAAGCTAACAAAGTGCGCAGCATTTTCTATGAGCTAGTCTTGCTCATCTTGACCATCGCAACATATAGCCGCTGTACGTATGCACTCGTCCAGCCGAGCGCAGCATACAACGCTTATAATATCTGACTGATAGCTGCGCGGGCATTGTAATAACTAATCAAGTCCTCTTCACCATCCTTTTTCTGAATTTAATAGGTATGATAATGATCCTCTCATGTGACTACTGCTAATCTTGAACTACCGCCAGTGTTTGTCTCTGTGCGATTATATGCGATTTGGGGTGAAGACATCCGGATATTCGTAGTCAGCCTGTTCATGGGAATAGTCCCTGTTATCCTCAACACGGTATGCTTCTTCCAGTATCATCAGCATATATATATATATCCAATTCTGACGATCAATGCCCAGTGTGTGATTGCTGCTGAGCAAGTGTCTGTATCAACCGGGTCTTGTGGCAGAGACACGCGTCTGAACATGGCCGTATATAATGCGTAAGGGTGAAAATCTGGTTTCACATCGTTGCGAGATTTCTCAATCACCTTCCTCAGGTGTCAGTAGATAATGTCGTGGATATTCGGATCCTTGCTACTAACAATGCCGTCCGCAGTGAACGTCGCTAGCGACGTCTTGACCATTCTATACTACTGCATGGTCTTCGTCCTGATACTGATCAAGACATATATCAGTACT